TTCAGGACAGATCTTTAACCAAGGGGGCCTGACCAAGGTTGACCCGACCCAACAAGACCCGCCAGCTCGGTTCGACCGTAGAGGGGTCGGGTCATGACGGGTCGACCTGTTCGTTGCTCGTGCCCAATCAGCACTCTCGAGTCCCACGTGCTGTCAGTTCCTTCTTTTCCTTGAAAATAAAGGCCTTAGCGATTGAGTATCCGCTATGCCTTTGGAGATTGTCTTTTCAACCTCAGGGCTCTTTCAAGGAACCAGCTTTCAGGAAGCATCCCTGCTAGTGTCAGTGCTCTCGTTCAACTCACTCTCTTGTAAGTTGCACACAGCAAGACCAGAAGCTAAGTAGGGGATGAGCAAGAGCCGGACCCAGGTCTGGCCCAGGTCGGGCCAAGGATAGCCAGCCGTGTTGGCGGGCAGGGCCTGAGCTGGCATGGCCGTGCGGGTTGGGCCAGCTTAGCGCTCGTGTCAGCCCACGGCCACTTTGAATTGAACCGAACGGATATTTTTATTTTGCCGAATCTGTTCCACGTGTTCTTTGGTTTGCGTCGCTCCGGTTCTGGTTCGACCTGGCAACCTGCGCGACTTGGGTCTCTGGTTCTGTTTTTATTGTAAAAAACAATAATGGCTCATTTCGAGCTCCAACTCCTACCGAGACTCCTCGGCTCTCTTTTTCTGAAGCTTATGAGTATTCTTACTGCTGTTTCTGACTATTCATCATGCTTTTGGTTCAAGGGAGTGCTCGTAGGGTTTTTAATGCGCTTTAGTAGATTTTAATGCCAGACATTCCTAGAGTTGTTAAGGTGGCCCTTCCAATCTACCAACACTCGGAAAATACTCCACGTCGACACTGTACACGGTTCTACACGGTCATGCACGGTAGGATTTGGGAGGTGGCTGAATGTAAGAGGCGAGTTCGTGAGATCTATGGAGCTCGGCCAGGATGCTCTGGACCGTTGCATTGTTGTTTGTTTTTCACTATACCTTATATTCAGATTCCTTAGCCTTGACTAATGCATGCGCGCACCCCAATCACACTCTGCTCTTCTCTTCATGCCACCCACGCCCACCCCTAGTACTCGCATCTCATGGCGCATCCCCAACATTCCAATTTTTATCTAACCTCCTACCCTTCCACCCCCCTGATCCCCACTTACAGGTACTCCTCTTTTTTTCCTACCTACACGGCCAGATTCAGTGCCCTCAACCCAGTGCTCTAGATAACCTTCATGCTGATCACAACATTTCACAACGACCCCCCCCCCCCCCCCACCTTTTCCCCCTTCCCCCCTTCTCCCAACTCCCCTCCCCCACATCCCTCCAGAACACTGAACGAATTATCCAAGAAAATGTGACTATATTAGATAGTAAACACCACACCGGTTCTATGCCGCCTTTCCTGCTTGCTGCTGCACTGCCTCTCTTGTTGCTCCATTTAGGAGTCTGTACAATAATCAACTCTCTGGCTCCGTTCCTGCAGAGACTGGTAGCATGACGAACCTGGTAACCCTGTAAGCCGTTGCTGCTCTTCTCTCCTCTCCTATTTGCTTTTAGTATCCATGCATGCATGAACACATGCAACACCACATGCGGTTGCCATGACATCGCCCTGTAGATCCGCCTCCACATCTGCCGACCCAGACGCGACCCGACATGGAGGAAGCCAGCATCTCAGCCATTCAATTAAAAAAACCGCATTCAACCAACCTGGTACTCCGTCCGTCCTCATTTTTCCGTTCTAACCTTTCCATCGCTCCTTAAACATCCTTCCGTCTGACCACCATGACCACCAGGTCTCTCGCCTTCAACCAGCTGTATGGGAGCATACCAAGCACTCTCACCCAGCTCACCCAGCTCACATTCCTGTACGACTCACTCTCTTTCGCTTGGCCTGGCAGTCTCCCTCTCTTTCATACGAAATAAATCACAAATACACGTTAATTGCATTTTCAAAGCCATGATGTCAGCGAGCTACAGGAGCACCTGCCGTGCCATGCATGCTCATCGTGCATACACGCTCATTGCACTTTCTTCCTCGCTGCCATGCCATGCATGCTCTTATTCATAATGATCAAGAAAACTCATCCCGAAGTGGAGCAAGTTTAGAGGTGTGTTTCATGGACATTGAACACTACCCACAACCAAGCTGGAAATAGGTTCTTCAGTTTTCTTCATTTGGAATGCATGGATGCGGCTGGATTTTGGACGTTCCAAGCCCTCACTAAAGCTCTTTGTCGAACCCGGCCGTAGCAGCACTGCAAGGATGGCTATGTTGCTGCGCCAGCAACCTGAAGGTTTTTTACGTCGTTGATTCTAATGAATGCCGATTGGAGTGAAGGTGGCTGATTTTGAGACATGGGGATACAAAGCAAGCATGCATGCATGCATGACCACATGCAACACCACATGTATGCCTGCGGTTTGCCGTGCCAGCGCCCTGTAGACCTGGCTCCACATTCGGCGACCCCGACCCGACATGGACGAATCCAGCATTTTGCATGGGTTAGCTTATTCGCTTGAATCTTGAGTTGAAGATGCCTAGTTACTACAGGCCGTGCCTCATGAATAGCTGCCTTGCTTCATCGCAAGGAGAGGCCACGCGTTGGGCCAGTTCGACTGGGCCAGGCTCCGGCCGGCCAACCGAGACAAACCAAGACCCAGTAGGACACGTGACGAACCACCATGAGCCTAACTGGGTCCGGGGATCCGCTCTTGCACAATATACTATCCTGAATGTGTTCCACTGTGGCCCGCACTATTTGGTGATCGACATAAATTGATTCTAACCTCCGTGCTTAATTCTCTTCTGCAATCGCACTCTCCATGCAGGAATCTCCGTGACAATCAGCTCACTGGCTCCATTCCTGCTGACATTGGTAACATGACAAACCTAGTGTTCTTGTAAGCCCGTCCCTACTCCTCATTCCCCTTGAGTAGCCAAGTTGTTCCGCTTTCTGATTCTCCTGTTTGTTTCTCCCTTTTTGTATATACCCCGGTGAGCAAAAAACGAACCGGGGCCCTTTTTTCGCCTTTTGATCGAGGCGTACCTGGTCAGGCTTTGACTCCAACTGGACAATGTTCCGGCTGTGAATGTCATGCATTGCGTCAAACTGGTTCAGCACATCGAACGGGTAGCACTTCGACTGGAACCCGAGCGGCTCTGGTCCATCCGTGGACTTTTAGGGAGTTTCAGGGCATATTTTGAGTTCAACTTCGTGTCAAATCATTCTCTTGTACGGCCGAACTGAACCAGCATCGTGCGCAGATTGTACCGAACTAATTTCATTCAGTTCGCCCATCGGAGCCAAACTGTTTGAGACATGTGTGCCACTCAGACCAAACCAAATGCAAGGAGATTTATGAGAATCACTACTTTGAATAAGGTTCTCCTTTATGTTAACACAAATCTGCCGTTTGTCTCTTCTGTGTGGGCATTAGCAACAACCGATCCAGAGTCTGCTCGGTGCTTGCCCACTTGAATCAAACCAGAACCGGGTGATCCTAACAGTCGATCCATAGGGGTCGAATCAAGTACCTGCAAGCTCAATACCGGTTGAATCCAAATTGGTTCATTTTTTAGTCAGCAAAAACAAAGCCGGTTTTGGTTCGGTTCTTGCTCATGGCTCCTAGTACGGAGTAGCAGTTGACAAGAGAAAGATCTGAATTTGTAAAACATCTAGGTAGAAGGATACCTGAACAGGTTTCGGTTTGAACTGGGTCGAATTGTTGTTAAGAGGTTTGGTTCGGATCGAACGATTGTAGGCATGCCAGCGTTTCAAGGTTTGCAGGTAGACGTTCAACATAGCAAGGTACGAGCGACTCAAGTCCGAACTGAACCTACGCTCATCTCTGCTCATCTGTACAAGGTTTTAGATCAGATTGGGGTGAAGTCCCAACTGAACCTAGGGTTTGTTCAGCTTACGATGATAACGAGAAATTGTAAGAATGACCGGAAATAGTAGCATATATGGGCATCACATTCAACTAAGCGAACACTAGCCTAAACCAACCATCGCTGCTTATTTTGTGCGGTAATCATTCCAAATCCTCTCCTCTAAACCCTCTGTATGCAGGCGGGAACAGTTGATGGAACTTGGTTCCGTCCAAGTTGGGCCGAACCGGCAAAATAAGGCTTTTGGTGGCTTGCTGAAAGTCGAACTAGGCCGGTTTATCCCAAGCCGCGGCCCAACGCAAATCTAACATATGAACCAAACAATAGAATTTAGTATGCAAACCTAGCATGTGAATGTAGCATTTGGAACTTACACAACCACGTCATTATCAGGCCTCAAGCCACGGTTGGTGTCCTCTCAGCCATTCAATCTTGAAACCCGCATTCAGCCAACCTGGTACTTCGTCTGTCCTCATTCTCCCGTTCAATCCTTCCTGTTGCTCCTCTAACATCCTTCCATCTCACCACCATGGCCACCAGGTCTCTCGCCTTCAACCAGCTGTATGGGAGCATACCAAGCACTCTCACCCAGCTCACGCAGCTCACATTCTTGTACGACTCACACATTTCCTCAAAATTTGAAGTGAGGTCAGCTAACACTGAACGCCGCCCAGTACGAATCAGAACAAAATTCCTGATCAGGTCAATGTGACACCACATGAATGCCCGTGGTTGCCATGCCAGTGCCCTCAGATTGCTGCCTCATTCTCCCTTCACCTTCTACTTCCCTCGTTTCACCCCACCATCCGCATACACCTCTTTTTCTCGGCATCTTCTTCATCCTTCTCGTCCACCTCCCCTTCCCCTTCTGCTCTACTTCTTGTTGACTCCTCATGGTTCTCCTCATTCATTTTGTCTGCCAGCACTTGTCTGCCCCCTTCTGCTCCCTCATTCGGACACCCACTCTACTCAACAGCCCCTCACATCTTCGCTACCTGCACTCCAGTTTTCCGAACAATATGCATTGAGGAAATCCCCATCCGTCCTTCTCCCCGGAATTGCCCCTATCCCCTGCAGCGACCTCTCTCACAATTACCTCACAGGTCACGCATTGATGCCTCTTGCTGTGCGCACCCTGGATCTTTCCAGCAACTTCCTCTCGGGCCCTCTGCCCGACGGGGCATGCCAGTCTCTTTCTTTTGATGCCAACTCCTTCACGCTGCCACTGGGCTGTGCCTTGGTGCCGCAGCGGCAGGAGGCAGCATGCAATGCATTCTGTGGCGTCTCCTCTGCAGCTGGTGGTGCTGTTGCGTGTGGTGGACATGGGGTGTGCTATCCACAGGGGCCTAGCTTGGCAACCACATGTCTGTGCGATGCGGGATTCGTGCGCTTTGGAGACATTGACTGTGTTGCTCAAGATAGGGGCTACCACTTGAAGTCGATGGAATGGTGGGACGTCCATCCGTTGGTTAGAAGTCCGTCGGAACTTCTCTGGTTCTGTAAGCCTTGCATCCCATCTCACCTCCACATGCTCTCTGTATCCCATTCGTGCCCGTCCGTTACATTTGTTTGTGCAGGCCAGAACAGGAGTTACTCAATCAGCCAGCCGGTTCTCCCGCCAGCATCTGTGCTCACCAAGGGGACACAGCGGGAGACGAGGGGAAACTTCACCGCAGCTCCGGTGACTCTGTTTGTGTACGAGGCAGGGCAGGGGCTGTCGGGGTGTGGACTGCAGCTCGCCTTCCATGCCAACTTCACCTTCTCCCTCTCGCCTCAATCTGGTCGCGTGGGCTTCAACGGCTTTGCCTTTGTTCTCTCGGCAACGGACCGGGTGGGGAGAGGTACCGGTGTGGGGTATGGTGGAATGGACAAGCGAAGTGTGGCAGTTGAGTTTGACACTCGGCAGGACAAGCAGCACGGCGACATGAGCAGCCAGCATGTGGGGCTGAATGTTCGAGGCGAGGACAAGTCGCTAGCCGCTGTGCCGTCACCGTTCCCTCTAAGCAGCAAGAAGGCGTACACAGCATGGGTGGACTATGAGCCGGGGGATCCCGGCACCATCCAAGTCTTCCTGGCTGACTCGAAGGAGAAGCCACAGGAGGCGGTGCTGGAGAGGAGGCTGGCGCTGTGTGAGGTGCTGCAGGGCGGGGTTGATCAGCACGCCTTCTTCTTTGGCTTCGTGGCATCCACCACTGTGAAGCCGTTTCAGAAGCACGTCATTCTCGAATGAACAGTGGACACAGGTTAGCATAGACATGAGCAGAACACCTACACGAGTCGAATTTTGCTCGACTCGCTTTTCTGCTGAGACGATCAAGTCTTGAGTAGTCAAGTAAAGCTTGACCAAGTTTTTTTTTTATGCTCTGACCTGACTCGTTACTGAGCATTTTGAAAATCGAACGAGTTTAACTGGCAATTGGTATAAATCAGGGCCTAAACACAAAACTTCTTATTTTTCTCCATTTGCTTTGTCCTTTCCCAGGCCTTCCTGCTTCTCCCCGATCAGTCACACGTACTCCAGGTGAGAAAACGTTTCTCATGCTCGTGCTTGGTCCTCTCGTTTTATCCTTCATCCTTCAATCCACTCTCCATGTCCCGGTACCTTGTCTTCCTTTTTTTGGCCCCTGTGATATAACATACATATGCCTTTGATAGAAAAGGTACGAGTATGCATATTCAGCCAAAGGTGGTACATGGTGCACTATGCACCAACCAACATCCCAAGATCATGTTTACGATATACCTTATCTAAAAACAACTGAAAAGGAATAAAAAAACGGAATCTGAGCAACGTTACGGTGTGCCGAATTGGGGGAGGTGCCTAAATACATTACAGTTGCCGAAGGGGGTATCAAAATAGGTGCATCATCACTGAATACATGGAGCAGGGTGGAACGTAGTGCCTGTTAGATAGATGTGAAATGGCAATCAACCAACAACCAGATTCTATGAGATAAGAGATGCAGCCCAGCAAAGTATGGGAAACTAAAACTTGATGTACTTATGATTGATTGTCCCAATTCAGATTGCCCTTGGCACAACCTGTCTTGATGACATCCCATTCATTCCCCCATGCTGCAACTCTTGAGAGCATCCCAGCCTATGGCCTGCAGCTATTCACGAACACGTACATGCCATCATGGGCCAGCCCCTTCCCGCGCTACGTGAGTGCGGACTACCGAGTGGCGCCCAGCAAGCAAGACTCGTGGGTTATCAGCGACTTCCACTCCTGGGACTCCGTGCCCTTCCTCGGCTGGCCTGTCAAGGACCAGAAAGACTGCAGTGAGTGAAATGAATGGCGAACTGGAGCCAATAGCTTGGCTGGTGTCTTATGTATAGTTCTCCGCCACCTGCTCTGCTGCTGGCCACATGTTTCAGCCAGCCATCTCACAATACTCAGCTCTATACGTGCTTGGATCCACTGTGGTTATTCACCACTTTGTTTCAACATTCTTTGGATCCACTTTGTTTTGTTCATTCACGAAACCGTTCTTCACATACACAGATGCTTGTTGGGCGTTTGCACTGGTGGCAAGTGTGGAAGCTGCATACGGCATCGCAACGAATGGAGAGGCGCCGCAGCTGTCAGTGGAGTCGCTCTTTGCAGCCATGGGGCTCACCTCCGAGGCTGACAAGTGCAGCACGGGGGGCTCCCCCACTGAGGCATTGGAAACGCTTCTCACGCTGCCCAATGGCGGAATCACAGAGGCTGGCGCACCTGTGAGTAGTGAGGTGGAGGAGTAGAAGGCTAGAGATGATAGATATTTGTGAGAGAATTGTGAACTCTGAGTAGTGTGCCTGATGTTGAGGTGAGTTGCAACGACACTACAACTAGTGATACAAAGACTCTTCTCTGAGTTCTAGAGTTAGTCGTTGCAGTCACTGTCAACGGTTGCAATCTCTAACACAGCTGAACAAATTTCTCTATAGCATAAAATTATCTCGAAGTTGGATATGCTAAATTTGTTTGGTCTAGCCAAAAGGCCCAAGTTATTCATGCAAGCGAAGAACAGGTTCTGCCATGACAAACGAAGAGAAGGCTGACTACGCCTGTAAACAAACAACTCGGTATTCGCGTGGTATTCAGGGCTCAACTGAAAACTCAAATGTTTATAAGAATTTGTCGCAGCATGCTATTCGCATGTATCCGTTCATCCAGTATTCTTGCCTTAGTGCTCGAGTGATCGAGGGATTTGTACACACCATGGGCTGAGGAGATAAAGCTTTCACGCTCGAGACCTAGAGCTTTCTGTGAGGGGTGACTAGAACTATGATGAATACTTCAAAAGAAATAGATATGCGAAAGCTGGGTGTATTCGATCCATATTCGCAATACAACCTTGAACAATGTTTGCAATATATCTAGAAACCCATGATGATTCCTGCTCATTTGTACAGCTTAGAGCCTATGTTTGAGGTTCCCTAACACAAGCACATTTCAAGTTAATTGAGTATATTAGGTATGTTGTAGCCATCTTATTATGCACCCCAATGTTGTACTGCTCGCTAGTATTGGCTAGGTCTAACCAGGTTAGTCTTTACTTGTTGCATGCATTTTCAGGAAGCAAATGTTGTTCTCTTTCTGTTGAGGTCTCTTATTGTGTTAATTTCTCTTCCTTCCAACATGTTGTGAAATTCCTTTTGAGTTGTCAACATTCAGAATAAGAAGTACCCTGTCCACGCATTTGAGCGCACTCGATTCAAGGGGTTTGTGGGGCTCATGCTGGCAGTTCGACGACAGCCAGTGGTGGTTCACATAGAGGCTTCTGCTCGAGAGTTCGCGCAATATGACGGGGTGGGTGCTGCCTGCATTGGCCCTGTATGATGTGCATACGTTGTTAATAATTTTACAGATTCGGTTACCCACATTTTCCTAACACCCGCTCCCATTGTTGTTGCGATGTCCCCTTTCTCTTAGACCTTCAAGTACCAGGATCCTGGCTGCTACACCGGCAGACTGAACCACGCTGTACTAGTTATTGGCTACTTCGTCTTCAGAAATGACGGCAGCCAAAATCGCATTGCGCCTCCATTCTGGATTATTCGCAACTCGTGGGGAGTGGAGTGGGGCGACAGGGGCCATATGCGCATGGACATTCAGGGAGGTGATGGCGTGTGTGGAATCAACGTGCTGCCTGGCATCTACCCCATTGTCAAGAGTGAGAAAACTTCCCATATTATTCTCTCCGTGTCTCAATCTCGTCACCCCGTCGAGTACATCTACAGGGTCAATAGTCATTGGCTCAGGGTGAAATGCACAGAACAAGCTGTAAATTTCAGCCATGGAGTAGGGTGGAGTGGGGGGGTGGTCAACAGAGGCAAGGGAGTGTGAGGCAGTGGTGTCCACGTTCGTAAGATGGTCAACGTCCAACTCACGGTGTCCATATCTTACACCTGTCACTTGGTTGACCACCTTCATTCCTGCCCGCAGTCCAGCTGCATTTGCACCCATTTCTACTACTCCTGTTCTCGCCTGTACTACCCTCCAGTTCCCAAGGACCCGTGCGGCCAGAGGAGCTTCAAGGGTGACGGCGACCTGCAGCCCAGCATGAACCCGTGTGGGCGGTTCAGATGCCGAGTTAACCTGCGGAGTAACATCAACTCGTGTAACTGCTCGCTTTCGAATGAAGCCAGGCAGCCATTTGTTCAAGTTGCAAATGAATATGGCTCCCAAACATGTGCCTATTGTAAGTCATTTCGTTCTTTGACTATGATGTTCATCCATGGCCGTTGTCAAACAGTGGTCTGGTTTGTTCATCAAAGGTTTCTTTAACCAAGCCTCTGTCATCTAGATCTCCCACGTCTCCCTCCAACCACTCTTCCCGTTGCTCTCAAACACATGCATATCTCTTCTCGCCTCATCCCTGTGCTCCACAATTGTGCTTCGCATCGCTTGCCAGTGGACGTGTGTGGGTCTGACTTGAAGAACCCCTGCTATGTGGGCACATGCATCAACAACGGCAAGGGCTCCTACTCCTGCATCTGCCCTCCCAACTACGTTGAAAGCATGACCATTGACAACTTCCCCACCTGCGACCCAGGTGCTGCTGCTTTGGCCTTGTTTGCAAGCTGGTCACTATTTTTTTCATTTATTATTGTACCAAATGTTGAAGTCATCAGGACCCTCTCAAACTGCTTGTGCTCTCCGGTAGCCATGAGGAAATCACCGAACCGAACCAATTTGATGTCGAGCTGAACGGCAAAAAAATGCTGTAGTTCGATTGTCTGCAGTTTCATCTGTACTTTGTTTTCAGTTGAGCCCCTCTATTTGGTGTGTATCTCATCATCCCTCTTCAGCCAACACCACGGCCAGCACTCTGGCAGTGAGTGGCAGCAACTGGTGGTGCTCCGATGTCTTCCGTCTTGTGGGCCTCTCACTTGCACAATTCATGCAGAATAATGCGGTAAGCAGTAGAGATGGCTACACTAGAAGAGTGGAGATGCATGCAGAGATGGTGTTAGAGCAGGAAAGCATAAACTGCAATGTGCAGGGGAACCTATCAAAGTTATTGGCTAATTTTTATGGACGCAGTAGCCCCACGGAATGCTTTACTTGGCTATACTTCAAATCCTATGACGTTTTTGCTCCTCATCGCAGGCCATCGACTGCAGTCGTCCTTTGCCTCGCAACGTGGTGCTTCAGCTGGGGAATCCTCTCCTCATTCCATGCACCGCATTCTTCTACACCATCAGCGTGAGCTTTAGCCCTTGTTGTTCTTCCATCTTGTATATTTCACCAAATCATTCCTCTCTTCCCAGATCGTCTCACTTCGTTCCACTTGGCCAATCAGTAATATTCTAGCAACCCAGCCAGCCTACTCAGCACTGCATGAAGTACAGCCGTCCTGCTTTCACCTTCATGCCTTATGTATTATACCTTCTCTCCTGTTTTTCAAACCTCTACAGCTATCTTTTACACCCTCTTCATGAGCTTTATTCCTATTCATCATTCCCCTCTGTTTCGCATCAGCTCAATGAGGCAGTCTTTATCATCACAGCCATACTCCATTCACCGTAGGCATCTGTGCCTTTTCTCCCATTCTTCAACCCTTCAGAGCGACACATGCTGGTCCATCAGCACGCAGCTGGGCTTCACCAGCAGCAACTCACTGCTCTCAATCCCAGCCTCAACTGCTCTGAGCCCATCAAGGCGGGCCGCTCTCTGCGCGTTGAGCGCAATGCCACCTTCGCTTTCACCGTCCCTCAGTGCTCGCGATACAGCGTGCTCACACCGCAGGACACGTGCGAGCGCCTGCTGCGGCAGGTGGAGGGGAGTGGGGGCGACCCCACAGGGACTGCGGAGGTGAATGCCATGCGCTGGGCTGAGCTGTACCGCAACAATCCCGGTCTCATCTGCTCCGATGTCATCTCGACCACCGCCTCTGCTGTTGGAAGCAACACTGGCGTGCAGGTGTGTGGTGGAGGGCGGAATGGACCAGGAAGGATAGGGGGCAAGGGATGGGAGAAAAGGGTGGTGGGAAAGCTGTGGAATGAAGGGGTGTTTGATGGGTGAGGGTGCAAAGGTCGTCCCTCATGTGCTCTTGCTGCAAGATTTGTAAGCCCTTTGTTCCAACTATTTGCCCTTAATCATTTGTAAGAAATGTTTTTCTTTTTGTGCCAATCTCTTCCTTTTACTCCCTCATGATATGTTCCTTGCACTCCTTGTGTTTGTAAACGGCGTGACTGCAGATTTGCCTACGAGCAGAGTATTGGTCATTTGATGTCGGCGTGTGCAAGAAGGGTAGGCAGAAACCAGTATCACCATCATTGACTTGCTCAGGCGCATACAGCTTCTATGGTGGAGCTCAGAATGGAGCCATTTCAAAATACTACATGTACAATGAGAAGAAGTGTGTTGGGGGTGTAGGCTCCAGGTTTATTTGTGTGCCGTAACTATGACCTTGGATAAATGTGGCTTCTCAGTTGGTACGAGTTGCCAATCTGCATGAGGGTCCTCATTATCAGATGAATGTTGTCTATTTCTTATATATCTATACTGTAGTACCCCGGCAGGAGCCCTGATCCATCAGGGTCCTTGTAGAAATGATGCCTGATTGACAGCCTTCGTATAAGAAATAACCTGATTTTTCAAGGTTATTCTAAAAAGAACCCTGATAAATACTGCAATGAAACTCAACCAAACACCACACCATAGGAATCGGATCGTAGACCTTTACCTTTCCGAACCAATTTCTATAACTCTAGGTTACTACAAACTATTGGCCACTCTAAAGGGTTTTGGTGGTTGACGGCAGAAATGTGTCAAAATGTAATAATTGTGATAGGCTGTAGTGAGGTGCCTTCTAGGGAGTACAGCTTTTAGGTTTGCATATTTGTACCCCATCCTCTTTCTATTTGATCATTCCGCTATGCATCACCCTTGAGATTGTATCATGAGTAGGTACTCTCCTAGCCTAGTACCGCTCCACCGCTCCTTCGCTCTGTAATCGCTCCGTCGCTCCATAGTCGCTCTGTCGCTCCGTAATGGCTCCGACGCTCCGTAGTAACCTACCCTGCAGAACAGCCCGCGCCACCCTGCAGAGCAGCGCGCGCCCCTGCAGAGTAGTGCGCGCCACCCCTGCAGAGCAGTGCACAGCTACCGGAGCTACCGGAGCTAGAGGCGCTGGTACTGCTGGTGCTGGAGGCGCTGGAGTTGGAGGTACTGGAGGTGCTGGAGCTGTTGACGGTACGGGTACTGCGCCGCGCCGACCGTTTTTCTACCAGCAGCCGCCATCGTCCCTCCCACCGCCTGACTCGGCCCTTCGCCAGGTTCTTAATCTCCCATCTTCCACTGGCCTCACTCCACCTCTCATGTGTCCACCGTCTGCCCCGTCTCAGACACAGTTGCCACTGGCTCCCCACTGCCCGCTCCTTCTCCCTACACTGAGATGTCTTACTCCCTCACTGAGTGTCGTGAGCCTGAGTCTCGTGCCTCCACACCTGTTTGTGCTCGTCGTCTCGCTCGTGCTCGTCCTCCTGCTGTCCCAGGCACTCACGTTATGGCACTTCGTCCTTCCTCCGTTCCACACCGTGTTCCCCTGCCGTCTCCTCCGACGTCCTCTCTTCCTGACGTTCCTGACCCGCCGTCCGACCTTGCTCGTGCTGCCAGCCCTACTGTCACTCGTCTCCTCGCCACTATCGTCACTGGCCCTTCCATTGAGTCTACTGCTGCGTTTTCCCTATTCACTGAGCTAGTCGACTTTGTTGCTACCAGTCGTCTTTACTACGTCGCGAGTCTTGTTACTGAAAATAAGTCTATCTGTCCTCCGTCCGTCGGGGGTGAGCCTGCCCTTAGCAGTGACGTCCTTGAGAATAGGCAGTTTGAGCTTGAGAGTCTTGCGGCCGTTTTACCTCGTTTCGCATCCATGCTGCTTTGCCCAGAGGGAGACCCGGATGCACTTGACATCCCTACCCCGCGCTCTTACGCTGAGGCGATCGCGGGTGAGTACTCCTCTCAGTGGCAGACAGCCATGGACGCAGAGATGGCTTCCTGGAAGTCCACAGGCACCTACGTGGACGAGGTTTCTCCTCCTCGGGCGAACATAGTCTATGGCATGTGGATTTTCAGAGTGAAGCGGCCGCCGGGTTCTCCACCCGCCTTCAAGGCGCGTTACGTTGCTCGAGGCTTTAGTCAGCGACAGGGGGTCGACTTCTTCCAGACCTTCTCCCCCATCCCGAAGATGACTACTCTTCGGGTGTTGCTGCACGTTGCAGCACATCGTGACTACGAGCTGCACTCCCTCGACTTCTCCACAGCTTTCTTGCAGAGCAGCCTTCACGAGGAGATCTGGCTGCGCCGCCCACCTGGCTTCACTAGGTGGTTTCCTGAGGGTACCCAGTGGAGCCTCCGGTGGCAAGTCTACGGTCTCCGCCAGGCGCCCCACGAGTGGCACGACACACTGAGGACGACACTTGCGGCTCTTGGGTTTGCTCCTTCGTCTGGTGACCCGTCGATGTTTCTACGCACCGACACTTCTCTGCCGTCGTTCTACGTTCTCCTGTACGTCGACGACTTGGTTTTTGCTACTGCTGACACTGAGGTACTGGCGCTAGTGAAGGCGGAGCTGCAGGAGAGACACACCTGCACTGACCTGGGTCAGCTGCGGAGCTATCTTGGCTTGCAGATCACCGGGAAAGAGCACAGCGCACCATCACCCTGACGCAGTCACACATGATGCACCAGGTCCTTCGGCGCTTCGGCTTCACGTGGTCCTCGCCATAGCCCACTCCTCTGTCAAACTATATTTATATAGTTTCTATGTGTTAGTCTAGGTGCTGTACAATATGTTACACTTGTGCTAGGACACTTGCTAGGGTTTCCTATATCTTGTTTGTTCATCCTTTTCCTTAGTCAATTTCTCACGCTCGTTAGTCTCTTGACATGGTATTGAGCTAAGCGATCCGATGGGCCCACCGCCCCGTGACCCGACCTAGCCCGTAGCGCCCTAAGGCCCGAAGCGCCCCGGTAGCCCCGTAGCCCGTGCGTCACCCGTTTTCAGCCCGTCGCGTCACCCGGTTTGCCCCTTGCGTCACCCGTTTCTGCCCCGCGCGTCACCCGTTAGTGCCCCGCGCGATTTGCCCGCCAGCCCGCTAGCGCGCGTCAGACCCGCGCGCGCCGCCTTAGACGCACGCGTAGCCGCCTGCACGTACGTCGCGACGGTTCGCAAGTAGAGGAGGAGCCCGCTACCCGCGCCCGTCGCCTCACCCGTCGCTTTTTCGTGCTGAAATCGCGGCCTCACCTGGAACCCGCCGCCACACGTGCTGAAACGTCGCACCTTCACCGTTTAGAAGGCGCCCCACGTTTAGCCCGCCACCTTACCCGCCGTCCCACGCGCCAGCAGCATCCTCACGCCCTGAAACCCGCGTTCCCACCAGTTAAAACGCGACCTTACCCGTCGCCTGCCACCTTACCCGCCACCCCAACCGTTAGCACCCTCCCCACGCCCTGAAACCGCCGCCCCAGCAGTTATCACCCTCCCCATGACCTAAAACCGCCGCCCCACCTGGTACCCGCCACCCCACCTGTCGCCCCACCCGCAGCCCCACCTGGAAAGCCTAACCCGCCGCCCTACCTGTCACCTGCACCCTGGAATCGCACTCAACCGCATTCAACCTCGCAGAACCGTACTCAACCGCATTCAACCGCATTCAACCGCACTCAACCGCATCCAACCACACAGAACCGCACTCAACCGTTTTTTACCGCACCAATTAGTCCCCTACGCGCTAGTTGTTCCTACGACTATGTCTACCTCGCGAGTTCTCACGTTCGATCCGGAGGGCCGCCCGATCGATTTCCCTGGATGGCTTCGCAAGCTTAAGCTGTACCTAGGGTCTAGGATCGAGAACGACGTGCGCCTGCTGGAGCACGCCACCGGCAAGCTCGTTGCCCCGAAGGATCCCGACCCCCTAGGTGCTTCCCCGTCGGAGGTGGATGAGGCTCGCTTTGAGAAGGCGCAGTTGGCGGCAAGTCGATGGGCGGCGCGGGACGACGCTACCGTGCTCGCCATCACCGACCTCCTGCCACTGTCTGAGCAGCATCACTTCGAACAGGAGGTGACAGCCAAGAGCCTTTTCGACGCGGTAGTCAAACGGTACTCCACCCCGACCACTGCGTCCCTCGTTCGTCTTGTGCTGCCCTTCCTTTTCCCTGACCTTCCCTCGTTTCCGCGTGTTGCTGACCTCATTCTGCACTTGCGCTCGCTTGATGCCCAGCTCCGCTCTGCTGCCCCTGACCCCGACCTGCTTGCCACCAATCCCCCCGCGATGTGGATGACACTGTACCTCCTTTCCACCCGCCTCCCTGACCGCTTTGTCACTGCTCGTGACCATTTCCTCACTGTTAACCCCATGTCCCTCACTATTGACCTCTTTGCGGAGAGGCTCACTTCTGTTGAGGACCTTGCCCGCTCCCTTGCCGCTGCCTCTAGTACCGTCCTCCCCCCCATCTTCGAGAGGTGTGCTCCTTCGTTCCTTGCCTCTTCTGTCGACTCGGCCTCTGTTGCCACTGCATCCGAGGTTGCAGCTGTTGCCTTTGGCAACAAAGGGGGCAAGAAGAGCGGTAAGAAGGGAGGAGGTGGTGGCAGTGGTGGGGGTGGCGGAGGGGGCAGCGGTGGAGGTGGTGGAGGGGGCGGTAGTGGAGGTGGTGGAGGGGGCGGTGGTGGGAGGGTCGGCGGGAGTGGTGGTGGCGGCGGCGGAGGGGGTGGGAGTGGCAGTGGAGGAGGAGGTAGTGGGGCGTCCCAGCAGCAGCAGCCCCAGCAGCAGCAGCACCAGCAGCAGCAGCAGCAGCAGCCACAGCAGCAGCGGCAGCAGCAGCTCCAGGGCCAGCACCAGCAGACCCAGCAGCAGCTGTGGGGGCCGCCTGGACCAGGGAGCTCTGTCAGCAGCAGCGGCCCACCCAGCTGGACGTCGCGTGGCCCGGCCCAGCACCCCCCCTGCCAGTACTGGGTGCAGACTGGGCCACGCAGAGACCGCATCTGTGGCCGCTTTCACCCTGCGGGTCAGTGCTTTGCG